CCCGCCGTGCGCCGTAACCCCCGTGGAACCCGGGCGCACCACCCCGGGGTCCCGGCTCAGCCCCGCGGCCGCCCCAGCCGCTACTCCTTTAATCTTTTTGTTTTGGTTTGAATCTGCTCGGCCACACTGGCCTAGGATCTCCTCCGCCCTCCCCCATCCTCCCGGCGGCGCGGGAGAGGCACCGGATATCCCCACCCTCCCCACGCTCGCCAGCCGGATTTGACTCCTCCGCCAGGGGCGGGGGGCGCCGAGCGAGAAGGCCCGCGTCCCGGCGATCGTCGCCGCCCTGAACCCGGGCGTCCCCGAGCGTCCCCGAGCGGCGCGGCTGCTGGCGGCCGGCGCGCAGGCACCTCCCCTTCCCGTGCGAAGCGTTCACTTCCTTGCAAGGTGGTACGAATCAACCCCGAGCGCGGCCGGGGCGGCGGGGCACGGCCAGGGCCTGGGCCCGGCGTGGAGCCCCGCCGCGGGTGCACGCGCACCAGCACCCTCCTGCGGGCCGAGGACGCTCAGTGCACCCTGGACCCCCGGCCCAGGCCTCCGGAGCGCCGAGCGCCTCGCCTGCGCCTGTGTCCGCAGGCTGTCCCATGCAAGTTGCAGGAACTAAGCCATTTTATTTATATTGGCCTAGATTTTGTGTTTTTCCAAGGATGTATAAAGTAGCTCCACAAGACTGTTACCGGTTTCCTACTGGAAGAAGACACACATACAAAGACTAGAGAGCCGAATTCCCAGAGCGTATAAACATCTTAAAGTTCTAGGTGGGGCCGCCGAAGGGCTTAGCCGAATTGGAGACATTACAGGGGCATATGAAGACCTCGTTTTCCTCACTCATGTAGAAAGATCTGTCAGTGCCAGTTTTCCTTAATTGTGTTCATTGACCAAATAATTCACTTTTTTTTGGTAGAGGGACCATATTAAATATTCCCATACATTTTTGTGATGTGCTAAATCCATCTCGATATTTCTAAGTATGCATTTTAATTTAAAAATGTTTTCCACTTACCTATGAATTACCGAAATATAAACGCCACACAGTGCCCTCCCCCAGCCAAAGCTAACCCCCCAGACTAAGAGTGCAAAAGTGACACAGGTATTTTCTCAAATGTAGGACGTGCTTCGCCGGAGGGTGGTTCGGATCCACGTGGGCGAGTGTGTATGAATATACGCGGGGGAGGGGAACTAACAGGTTTAAGAATCTGCAGGAACTGATGTCTGCCTAACTAGACTTAGGACGCATGGGTTCCACTCGAGATCAGCCAATGCTTTACAACACAGCCCCCTGAATGGCTTCCTGCAACGTGCAATCTTTTATGTTATGCTGTATTAAGATTTCTTTTCTGTGTCATATTGTTTAGCTCTGAAAAAAATAAAAGAAAACAAAGCAATTAAAAAGATTGACAGGTATGGTTTGTGTGAGACCTATTTGTAATTGTCAGGGTGACGTTGGCGAGAGGAGGAGGAGTAAAAAGTGAGGCAGGAAAGCAGCTCGATGTGTCTGTCTATCAGTTGAGACTGTCTGAAAGCTCTGCGATCCGAATGTGTGTTATATTTCACTGAAAAGAGGAGAGAGGGAGAGCGCATCTCCTCTCTCCCAGGAGTTTGGGGGGGGACAGTACACGCTCATCTCGCCCACCCAGTGAATGTCCGCTCTTCACCCCCTCGGCGCACACTCTGCGGGTTGTTGTTGGCTTTTTTTTTTGAGGGGGGGGGTGCTTTTTGTGTGTTTTTCAAAAAAATTTTTTTCTGTTGGAAGATCAAGACCGGCCAAAAATCCTCGATCAAAATGTGTTTGCATTAGATTTCTCTTCGGAAGAAGCGGCGATCCTGGCGGCCAAGCCCCCCCGGGGCAGCGCGGGGTACCAAGTGGCGCTCCGGCGGGTGACACTGTTTGATCTGTGACTGTTTGGAAGGTGGAGCAGCGCTGACATCTCCCCCGGCGCATGTATGTACGGGGGCTTCACTCCTCTGTCTTGTTTGCTTTCTTCCTCCTAGACTAAGTGCGGGGAGGAAAGGACAACCCGATCGGCCTCGCTGGCGCACAATGAGAGAGCTGCGACCCGCGCACTAGCAGCGCCCGCCGCGACCCCCACCCGGCCAGCAGAGAGGGGCCGAGAAAGTTGCGCGCGGAGACTCGCGGCTCGCCCCGGAAGGCGCGGGAGCGCCGGCGGCGCCCGGACAGCGCCCGCCCAGCACAGCGCCAGCGGCATGGAGCGCGGGCCGCGGGCCG